GACTCGTACACGAGTTGGAAAAAAACAAAAACTTCCCCGCGGCTGTGGAAAGCGTTCAAACAGGCGTGCCGGTTAATTATTTTGAGTCTCGTGCGTGCGCGGGCACACGCACGATTTTACGTTTTTACACTTTACACAGTCCGATGAAAAGAGCGATTGATGTTTCAATTAAGCGTTTCTACATCCAGCAAACTGTGCATCTAGAAAAGAACTGTGCATCTAGTTGCAGGATGTTATTACTTATAATCTCATGTTCTAAGCGCAAACTTTTACTGAAACGATATTCCTCTTCTAATGAAGTGGACTTTTATAATTAGAAAAATCTACTGGATGTTATCTTAACTTTCTTTTAACTTCCTTTTGAGTCAAGAAATGTTTATTTGAGACACAAAGCCTTTTTGCGAGAGACGCGACAAGCAAAACTTGTAGAGAAAAGAAGAGGTTTTTCTAACTTTAAGAATATTGTGCTTAAATATTTTCCTTTTAGTTTCAGAAGATCCTCTTGGGAGGCCCTGTGTAAAATCCTCTAGGATTGAAATGATCCCGTTAAGGATAAGATTATATTTTGTTTAGGTGTATAGAGAAATATCGATATAGCCAATTTATAGTTTGCTAGTGCTGAAGAAGCCAAGCAGTTCGTAAAATTATTTTTGAAAAATTAAATCTGATATTTTCTATACAATTATGCTAAGAAATAAACACAAAGAGAAATGTGACATAATTATTATCCCTTTTATTTGTTGATATTTCGCCTCAGTATCTTACCGGCCGATTTATACGTGAAATGTAATGTGACGTGACTTTGCCAAGTCCCTGTGCTTTAAATCGTGCGCCGGTCGACTACAATCTTCCAGACGGATTACTTGCCAGGAGCGTGTACTTTTGTGCGCGGCGGCACAAATGAAAAATTGTTGCGCGGCTGGACCATTCGACAAAGTGGCCTTCATTAAAACTTTGTACAGCTTTATGGAGACGACTAATAGCCCGGGGTTGTTTTGCACGCGGTGGCATGTTTGCGTCAGTACCGGCCAACGAAGCGAGTCGATATGGCCTATGTAGATTATGAGATATGAAAATCCGGGATTATCAAGCGCTTTGCCGCCGAGCATGAAAGACGCGACAATTTAATCACGCGCGCGCTAGCGCTCGCCCACCGCAAAAAGGCGCAAAAGCCACGCGAGAGTTGGTCTTGACCAAGTACCTTCCTCTTCGACCCTCTTCTTCTTCTTCTTCTTCTTCTTCTTCTTCAGGCTGTAGTTGTCAAGGCGTACTCACAGTGGCTAACGTGTGTGCGTGGATGTGCGCATACACGAGAACTTTTAACGAAGTTTACGAAACGGCTGATTGATTTTCTCTTAACTCTCCGATACCGAGTTATCCTTGGAAGCGTGCGACGCATCTCGAACATCGCCTGAGAAATTGACTGAAAAAAAAATGCGACAGCACTCTCTCTCTTACACACACACACACACACACATGCATATATTAATTTGTAGCTACGCGAGCATTACCACATTTATTTTTACGTTCTTTGATTACTGTTTTATTGTTTATTGCGACCTGTAAAAGGAAAACAACACGAGACTTCAGAGAGTCTTTAACTCTTGCATTCGTTATATACATAAGTCGAAATGGAAAACACATATCATCTTAATATACATTCTTGAAGACTGGCTATCTGTAGAAAATAGGAGGAATTATATGATGACACACACACACACACACACAGAGTTTTATTTTCCTTATATTTCAAACACAGCAACCAATTTATTTATACAATCTTTTTATTTCCATTGGCTGTGATTAAAGCTACCCAGGTTACAAATTGGATAAAAAGTAGTGCCGAATTGTCGCACTGAGCTATATAAGAAGTTATTCACGGTATAGGCTGTATATTTATGAAATTCTTTACCTCATAATGTAGTAAACTCGTCGTCTCTGACAGCCTTCAAGCGATTATTACTTAAGCTCTTACAAAAGTCGAAACGTTCGGTTATCTAAGCTTTTCATTTCTTATAATAACCAGGTTTTTATTGTACTAGTATTCCTGTTTTACCGTATTATATTATTACAACCTAGCGTACAACTTTATTTCATTTTGCGCTCTTTTTATTTTGCATTTTTATTGTTGCGATTGTTGTGTTACTTTTATGTTATTTTTGCTTTATTTATCTTTTTACGTGATTTCAATAATTTATAATTTTCAACTTTATTCTATTTAAGTACAATATCAATAATTACATTGTTACTATATTCCTAAGGGATCCGAACTTCAGGGGGAATGAAATAAACTCTACTCTACTTTTTCTTTCTTTTTCTCTCTCTATCAATTATCACAGATAATTATAATGAAATCGAAGCATGATCATAATCGTAGGCGAAATGAAACGGGCGCGCAATTTTCAAACGATCTGAACTCTCGACGCGCTACGTGAAATGATCAGTCAGGAGATCCCGCGTACCTCGTCCGAGATAAAGTAATAGAGTAATTAACTCAGGGGAAAGCCGGGCTGTATTTACATAATTTGAAATTTAAAAGAAAGTCATCGAGCGTGAGGAGCGGCCTCCTTCAGGGCAAAATAATGACTGCGACGGGGAACATCGCATTTGGGGGACATGCAAATCACCTTGCGGGTACAGCTCCATCGTCGCGAGTTTTTTGTTCTTCTTGTTTCTTAATTGAACCGATTAAGGCGCCTTTCAAACAACTCAGATTTCCTGCACCGATGCTTCCCTCGACGCACGCGGAACGGCATGACGCTCGCCTCGGCTAAACGGCGACTTCCGTCGATTCTTTACAAAAGAATTCCCGTCGCATTCGACAGGACAATGCTCTTCCCGAGCCGAGCCTGAGTTCCAGCAACTTCTGAATCCGTCGCGATCCACGACCGAATTTTCCCGGAGGAAGGCACGCGAGCTCGCTACTACTCGGATAGACTTTCCCGTCGTCCTCCATTGCCTTGTATTCTCACCCCTCCTCTCCCCTCCCCGCGCCACGCACACTCTTAGCATTTTCACTAGGATTGTGACTTATCCTCGAACCTCGCGGAAGCAGCGCATACCTTCCACGCAATCCTCTTTCCTGCAGACGAGGAAGCCAAGGTACAAGGCATGTCCGCGTCTTAAGACGGTCTCCGGCAGGAATCCCGAAGAATTTGATAACTATCTATAACAGACAGCATCCCCGCGACGAAAAATTTCCGCTTTATCGCATGGGCGCCACGTAAAACGCGGAATTTTGGGGAAATGAACGTAGAAGGGCTTTTTCACCGGCGCGGCGTTGGCGACGCTTGTAATTGCTTGGTATTTTAAAGAGTTAAAAGTAGAATGCGAAATTCCATATTCGTTACAAACATTTGGATTTCTGATAAAGCTTATTTCGCTGTATTTCTCTTCTTCCTTCCTCTTTTGTATAGAGCGCTCTATCGTGCAAAACGTTGTGAAGTAACAATAGCGCCCGTTATCCGGAGATGCACGTATATGGAAATAGACTTTCGCCGAGAATAATACGCGGACATGTAGACATACATATACACACATATATACATATGTACATATATACATACACACACACACACACACATATATATATATATATATATGTATATGGAAATATATTTATATGGAATATATATGAATATACTTATATAGAAATAGACTTTCGCTGAGAATAATAGACACGTAGATTATACATACATATATATATATATATATATATATATATATATTACTGCATTGGTATAGAACGTGCCGGATTATCTTTTTTTCCCTGGCGCTGTTGGAGCAACGGTGCTGGATTTCCTCTTGGACCTTTATCCGCTTTCCTCATTCCGCCGTGTAACTCTTACACGAATCCTATCTCCGTATTTTTCTTCGCCCTCGATGGTCCCTTATTGAGCTCTCGGAAGCAACCCCTGCCGGGCCGTTATACCGCTACGAAACAACCAACCTTAGATTTCGCTAGTAGATATCTCCTCTCTGTAATATTTTCCAATACAGCTACATGTGGACGCGGCTCCAAGGTCGGCTCGCTACGTAATATATCCAATTTCTCGTATCCTCCGTACAATTCGATCGGTTTCATTTGATGTCTCACCGTTGGAATATCTTATGGACAATATTCGATCCTCGGTACATCCGCTCGCATGCGGAGAAAACACCCACGCAAAGCGAAACCATATATTTTAACGCCAAATATCGGAAAACAATCTAAGAACAAGTAACCGTATATTTAAATATGCTGCTGCCTTTCCGTGGCGAACATATCTTTGTAAATTGTTCCCCAATTTTATACGATTAAGAGCGGATTATCGAAGAGAAATTAATGCGACCTACGTATTGTATTGCACATACGACTTAACTCTCTAGTGAATACTTGCGTTCGATAAATGAAAACGCCGATCGACTACTCTCGCCGGGAAATATCTCCAACAAACGTTTTGAAAGCGCAATCGGTCACGATTCGTAGACGGAAATACTATTCCCCCGGAATGACGAGCGCCATCAAAGGCTAATGGATTCGGCCTGGGGTAATTCCGATCCATTATCTCGCTTGTAGAGCCTTCGTTCGCGCGCGGTCTGTTCAATCCATCCTTTTGTTTCTTTTCGCGTCCTGTTGAGTCGAGTTCACTCTTCTCTTCTCCCATTCTTTCCCCTTAATTCTCCAATTGTCCGTGACCTATGATTCATTTAGATAATTTCACACCGGTCTGTATGGTTAGCGTGACATCTTTTGCAATATTGAAAATTTCGGACATTTTATTTGCGTAATATACGTTGTTATTATCATTGTATAATGCGCATGGAAACGAACGTATAAAGAGTACGCGTTGGATTTTGACGAGGGTAGAATTACGTCCGAAACATGTAATCGATAAATTTTGAAGCGACATCTCTCTCTTTCTCTCTCTGAGAAATTAAAACCCTGACGTGAGAAAGTGCGTGCACGCAATCGACGAGAGATTGCCAATGTTAAAAACATCTGACTGTGTCTGTTTCAGGCTTTGGCCAGGCTACGCCAGCGCGCATAATAATCTTGGGACTCTCACGATAGACGATCAAGCGGAGTATCATTTTCTAGCAGCTATTCACGCTCAACCAGGTCACGTAAATGCTCACTACAATCTCGGTCGATTGTACAGGTCAGTGAATGAATAAACATCTTCATCCCGAATATTAGTGCGATGCGAATATCACGAGCCACTTCGTTGTGCGCAGGAGGTTTATCAATTACTAATATAATTAATCAATTGGGCCAACCCGGCGGTCACGTCGGCGTGACTCATTGAATCGCATTATATCAATTAATTATTAGGAGCCGCTGGTCGCTCCCACGTGATAAAAGTATCTCCTCATTCCCTGGTTCGCCATTTTATCAACGGGTTATCGACCCGGCGCGAGCCGCGTTTCCGACGGTAAATTTAGCGTGGGCTGTAATTCCAGTGGCATGGTTAAAATTAAAGTTTAATTAACGCCTCCTACTTGATAAATTAAAGTTTAATTAAGGATAGAAGTGTAATACACGCACGGCTAACCGATGCGTGAGCATAACAATTTTCCGCTCATCGTACGTGCCCATCGTGAAAAATAAATGTATCTCGGTATCATTTTCCTCTCTCCCTTCTCCCTCCTTCCACTCTTCTCTCTTCTCTATCTTTTTTAAAAATATTTGTTCAAGATCCTATACATATGTCCTATACGAAATATTTATTTACGACATTTGATTATATATTTTGGCTTTCCATTCGCTACCGCGCACAACGATGTATAAATAACCGAATCGTAAAATAAAACCGGGAACTGTTTTTGCCTTCCTATGAAAAATATCTGGTGTAATGTTGCCAAGAAAAAACTAAATTCATCTCCACGATGTCTGATCCCAAAACATTTTTACTATCTATCTGAATAGTTTAATTGTTTTTGTAACTTTTGTCATTGTACATAAGGTCGCGTAAATTTATTAATTTTATACGAAATCTACATTAACGCTTGCGCATCGAATAAATTATGCAGTGGCTCGAATAAATACGTATATACATTTATGTATATAGGTATGTGTGTGTGTGTGTGTGTGTATGTGTAACGCATGACAAAGCCGTGCATATGTGACGTGCGATGTAATAAGGCGACTCTCTTTGAAATAGAATGGCTGCATTTGTGCGCGCAGACCATGATGCACGCTTTTGTTTCGATTATAAAGATGCGCGTTATCATCGTCAACGCATGCATGTGCTCACATTATCGTCGCATGAGACTGCAGAGAGATGTGTGGAAATTAGATAGCACGCTCAAACCGCGCGAGTTTCTTTGAAATTATCAACTGCAATTTCTCAAATGTAATTTAACGTTATATCGTACAGAGAAACATATAATTTCGCGCACGTACGCGATATTTTTGTGTTCGCGAATATATCAAGACGCATTTGCTACGTGAAGTGATATAGGCCAGGTAGAAAATGAATAATAATTAGACTGTAAAGAATAATTAGAAAAAGGAGAAATGATGCCCAACAGTACGTGTCCAAATTGAACTTATCAAATATCGCATGCATCAATGTGTCGTATTACTCCGATTCATCAGGAGTATCTCACGATCTAAAGTTGGGTCGTAGCCCAGAAATTGAGAAGGAATGATAACAATGTAACGTATATTATACTGCCCATTAGTTCCACTACATTGTGCAATCCTCTTTTTATTATTTTCATTTTATGACCACGTGCTCTACTTTTACCGCGCTCAAAGAGGCATTTCTTTTAAGTTATGCGGAACGTCGTGGGCTCCTTATCAGCAAATCTTTCCGTCCTTACGATTTGCAGACTTGGACTTTCATGGCTCAGTCCGCCGAGCGCGAGAGCTTTTCGGGGGTATTAAAATTAATGGACGGTACTTGGAAAGAGCGGTGCCGTCATTGAATCCGCGCTTCTGAGATATTTTCTAGTTGGCTCGCGCGACACCCCACAGCGCAGACAGATGTCTATATAAATGCTCCCCCGTCGGCTAGTGTTTCCTCTCTCGATCGCGCAAAAACGCCGAGAGAGTGATATTGGTAAAAAGCATCGGCCGCGCTACGGGAGTAAATAGTAAAAACGGCATTGTCGATCGGCATTATTGGCGTCGCCATTCTCTGACAATTACCGGGTCTTTTGTCGGGCGCAAAGTCGATTACATGAAAGCGCACGACTATAATTCAACCGGACGCGTTCGCGAAATTGCCGTTCAATTTGTACGGGAATGCCGAATTCACCGCGGCAACTTACCCCTCGCTCTTTTTAACGCACCCTCGGCCTTTGATGATCAACTGCTCCCCATAAAATGCGATGCATTTTCATCGTATTTATTTGCACGTTAGAGTAAGCCAAACAAATTGCTAGCGATATTATTTTAGCGAGAGAACGCTATTGGTTTTCCGCGTGCCGGGAACAGCGAGTCATTAAACACTATTGCTTGGACGATATGTATTGAATTTATAATTGATGCTAATTAGGATTGAGTTGCTCGTTACTGGTTAAGAATAATAAATGACATTCTTCCAATTACGTTACGTTGCCCGTTGATTACATTTTATTGGATTCTTCTAATGATTTCAGCTATTATTTATATAAAATACATTACAAGTTGCAAATATATACACAACTGTCGTGTATGTGTGTGTGTGTAATGTGTGACGTGTTTCGACTTAACGCGAATCGTTACAAAATATCATTATAAATCTGCTGATATTTCATCTAATTATAAAATCACAATGAATGCGAAGAAACTCATTACTCTACGAAGTATCACTCTCAGTGCGTCACGCTAAGAAGATTCAAGCGTTTGACCAAATATAAGACAAATTTATAACACGTATACGATACATAAGTTAATCGAACTGACAATGTGTAACAGAAATTTCAGTCATTATTACCTATCGTTTTCCAGATATTTAATTATAAAATTGTATTATGCAAGCATATGTGGAATCTATATAATACAATAAAGGATTTTGAAAAATGGGTATTATTTTTTTGTACAGAATCAATCTTTATAAAACTTGATACAGACATAAATAAGCCTTAAGGAGATGCTAAAGCATCTATAAAAACTTTACCGACAGACATTTTTCTGCAAAGTTTACGTCGTATTGCTTGTACATAATTAAATGCTTTTACGCAATGAAAGGACGTGTAAAAATACACATAGGCACAGATCTGCAAAATAATTTCATGATATCATTTTTCTACATTTATTTTTATATTTATTATAATTTATTATTCATTTTAATGTAACACTTATGCATTTCCAAATCGAGTTAAATGATTATTTATTAATTTTTTCAAATGTAACAAATTTTATGTTTTTTTTTTTTTTTATAGTTGGTATTGAATGAGTATCATATAACTTTTATTTTATCACTTTCAAAATATTTGATAATTTTTAAAATAAAACAACGGTTACATGTTGTGACTTTCACGGCGTTCATCTTACTAATATTGTAAATTTATTCTTTTAGTTATTTCAAACGATTTTACTAATAAAATTGAGGCCGGAGTGTAGTGCTAGAACTTCCTGAGAACATTTGTAAGTCACACTCGCGAAATTTTCTGTTTTCAGAAGGACGAACAGAACAGAGCAGTGCATCGAAATGTTAAAGAGATGCGTGTCGCTGGACCCAGCGTATGCGCCGGCATTCATAGTTTTGGCGAGAATTGCAACCGGTCCGGCAACAGGCGAGCTCCTGAGGCACGTGATTCACCTACAGCCACGCAATCCAGACGTTCTCGCCGAGTATGCTCACTGGCTATACGAGAACGGTGAGTTACTGTTACACAAAATAAGCTAACGGAACAGGGGATAGAAAAGAGATCGCATTAAAGTCACATGAAGCGGAGAAGCGAAAGTGTTAAGTTGATTTATAAGTTCGGGCGGATGTTTGTCTACACTGAGAGAAAAATTACCTTAAAATCAACAAATATTTATTTGATGGGTACCATTAACATATTTATTTAAATCTAAATTCTCTTTATTTAAACTAAATATTGTTTACTTAAATCAGGTAACCAATATTTGATTTAAATAAAGAGAATTTAGATTTAAGTAAATATGTTAATGGCACCCATCAAAGAAATATTTGTTGATTTTAAGGTAATTTTTCCCTCAGTGCAGTAATTTTAAAGAAGTGTCTTCGTTACGGCTTGACAATGGGAAACAGTAACGAAATTTTCCGGTGCATTATGCTTTTTTATTTTAAAAATTATTTGAGATATTTTCCCTCACCCACCATATTCCCCTGACACTGTCCTCTCCGATTATCCTGTTTCGCTCATTACAGAACTCGCTTGACGATAAAAATTTTGCTTCTTTAGAAGATATGAAAAATCACTTGGAACGTTTCTTCGGTGGAGAAGCGTTTCACGAGAAGTGAATTATGAAATTACATGAGAGATGGCAAAAGATGGTAAAACGATGCATATATCATTGATTGAAATTGTTCTTAACGAGAATAAATTGCACTCCACTTTTGTTGAAAAACCCGCACGAACTTATAGATGAAAACCCAATAGAACAACTCCGCCATAACTAACCACGAGGTCGTAGTCGCGCAGCCCTAAATTTACACTCACGGCGAGCCTGTCTGGTGCATCTTTCAGGTAAATGGTTGCCCTCGCTGCGCTACTACTCTAGAGCCATGGAGATTTTCCCGTCGCACAAGCCGTCGCTTATTGGTATGCTGAGGATCCTGAGGTTGCGAGGTCAGTGGTCGCGGGTGCACCAGCTCATCATCAGGTGAGCATTTGCGACCTCCTCGCGCGCGCACGAGCATCGCACGTGTTTAGTCACCGGCGGTGGGAAACATTAGCGGCATCCGAAAGGGGATGGTGCTGTGAGATTACCGCCGAGCATCACGTGTTGCCTGTTCCGCGTTTAATCGTTCGTGCAAAAACGTTGGAATACGGCGGGAGGGACACGTTCAGGGAAGAAAGGGATACGAGTGCTCCAGCAGGGCATTATGTAAGATAGTGCCGAAATGCCACATTCCGCAGGATATCACAGCGCGGCCTCGGATGCGGCGGCGAGTCGCAAATGTCCGAGAGTGCCCGTAATTTCCCTGCCGCGCGCGATCGCGAGATCGCCGCGTATACGTACTCCCAGGCGCGTTACAAATTCCGGCCATGCGACGAAGCGTGGCTCTATCGCGCGGAAATCCTTTCAATTTCAGATGGGCTTTACAGCGTCGCGCGCGAATCAAGCGGGCGGGCGGGCGGACGGCCGGGCTTATTCGCGCGGCAAGTACTCGGTACGTTAGCGCACACGTCGATTCGCAATCAGCGAACGGATTCAATTTTTTTTTCCCGGCGAGCTTTCTCTCCCGCGCGATTTTCGTTTCGCACGGCTTGATTAAAAATTCCACGCGATCTTCGTACTTCACGCGGAATATATCGAATAAAGTAGCGAAAAAGAAGGGAGAAAACAAGGAGATACATACGTAAAGGAAAACACAACTTTGACAGTTTCTCGCGAGTTGACGCGATCGTTCTCTCCCCCCCCCCCC